CTGTGCTGCCTATTTTGCAGGACCCGCCTCCCCCACCTTCGCCGCCACTCCGGACCACTCCGTCACCCAAAGAACATATCAAGGAGGAGTGGCGGCCGAAACTGCAGGCAGCTAAGCCCGCTCGAAAGAAAGCCGGAGACCACTATGAGCTGGTCCCGCCCCCACCTTGGCCATCCGAGTATTCACTCGCTTGCATCCTGCCGGATGGCCAAGTCGAGCTGGCAAATGCAGGTGGCCACATTCGTCGCGTCCATGGCCACCAGTTGAAGCTGTACCTCAAGAGCGATGTGGATCCGCTCTTGAAGGCACCTGATCCTACACTTCCCTGAGCATCCATACTGGCGTCCAGCTAAAGGACGGTAAAGAAGCGCTTGTGGGGAGGCAACCCCACCAAGGTTTGTTTTTCTTTCGTTTGTTTTTGTCGGTTTGTCCACTTGGAACTATGGTTTCTATCACCCAGTGTGTTTTGCTGATGCTAGCCCGCTGACTGGTCCACTTCCAGTCCCCCAGCAGTGTTCTTACCCGGTAACATCGTTCCCCTTATCTTTCCCTCTACTCCATTGAGGGCAATGTCGTGCTTAAGTGTGGGGGGATGCTTTGTATCGGTTGGAATATTTATGATGGTGCTTGGAGCCTAGTCCGCTGTCCGAATCTTACGATTTGAGGGCTCCAAGTACTGCTGTTTGATCATATTGGCACTGTGTTTTGATGGATGAATTGATTGGTTTTCGGATTAATGCATGACAACTTGTTTGCGACTAGGACAACCTATGATGAGGACTGAGATGTGCAGTAGAACGATGTAGGGGTTCAGTTTTTCAACTGTTTGCTTGCCAACTGTGACTTGATCTGACTTGATCTGATTACTTGTTCTTGACGGTCGTTTATGCATCTAGTTCAGGGTATCGGAATGTGAGATAGAGCATATAGGTAGCCATGTGAGATTTGAGCCTGCTCGTTTCTTTCTTGTGCGATAGATCCCTCTTCCATGATGTGTAGCATTCACGTTGTCACTAGCTAAGATGATGGGGGCATAGGATTAGCCCACGCCCAAAACTGACTGTTCTGGTGTGTCATATCCCCTAGTCAGCCCCTTTGAGCCGTGTGTTATTCCTTCTTTTGGTCTATAATGGAAAAAATCACCCTTGTTGCATCTTTTAGAAGGTTCCACAGAGTGGTTTTTACATATTCTCTGCTGTTTCTGCTAAAGTCTATGTGAGTGTTGGAGGTAGTGCTTAAAAGTTGGGCAGGTGTTTGAAATTTATGCATAAGTGGTGGCTCTCTTAGGAAATGAAAAGAAAAATGAAAGAAAAACAAAGAAAAAATTGAAAGCAAAAGAGAGCCACTACCAAAAATCTGAATAATGCCCAGTAAGTAGTGTTTCTTAGCAGTCTGGCTTGGAAATGCTGATGTTTATGCCTCCTTCGCTCTTGTGATCTTAAGATATTGAGAATGCAGAATAGCAGAAAGAAAATACCGGGTTGTTTGACTGTGATTGTGTGTTTGGAAAATGTGGAACCTTTTGCTATGAATACTTCCACCACCTAAAAGGCCTTTTCCCCATGTCCAAGACCCTAGCCAGTCATTTGAACCTGTGTCTAAGACCTCCTGATTAGTTAGTGGTGACACCCCATATGTGAACTCTAGCATTTAGAGGCTGCCATCATGGTGAAGAGATGATAGGTATTGAGAGAAATAGCATGCGCATCTTTCGCATCAAATTGTCCTGACCCCACTAGTTGAGAGTGAGTGATCCATTTTCATTTTCTATATGCTCTTGTACCCCGGTGAGGACCTAGATTGCTCGGTCTCTATTCTGATGTCTTGAGTTGGATGCATGAGTTGACTGTTTTGAGTGAGTGGTTGAATCAAGTCTAGGTTGGCCAGTGAACAGAAGGGAGACTCTTCCTTTGCTCGATTTGCTGCACTCGAATGTCCTTTGTGGTGGTTGTCCAGGTTGTTATTGAGGTTGTGCATGTGTTGATGTTTGAAAACCAGTGCGATTCACGTGTTTTGTGCCTTTATGACTTGTCCCCAATGTTGGTTGATTGAAATATGTAAGCTTACCTAGTGTCTGACTTGGTTTGCTTGGGGACAAGCAAACGGTTAAGTGTGGGGGAGTTTGATAGACCGTTATTTACACATGTTTTCACCCCTGTTCTTACTCCGTTTGAGGTATTGATTCTCGTGTTTTAGGCCGATTTCACGCTAGGTTGTGCTTGTTTATGATATTTCAGGTCCTAGTACGTGAATGGAGGCTTGAGAGCGAGTTTGACGTCGATTGGACAAGGATCGGACGCATGGCGAGGTTCTGAGGAAGTCGCGTGGACACGCAAGGGATTGTGCGTGGGCACGCACGGGATTGTGCGTGGCCACGCACGGCCGTGCAAGTGACCAGTTTGGCCGTGCGGGATTGTGCGTGGGCACGCACGGGCAGAGCAGAAATCCGCACGGCCGTGCAACATATAATCCTGGCCGTGCGGGATTTTGCGTGGGCACGCACGGGATTGTGCGTGGCCACGCACGGCCGTGCACCTGGCCGTGCACCCAGGCCTGAGGAAGACTTAATGATACGGCGCGTTTTGGAGTGCACGGCCAGAATGGTGATGTGCACGGCCGTGCACCTGGCCGTGCAACTCGGGAAAGCCGGTTTTAAAGCCTAATCCGAGCCAGAAGTGGGGGAATCGCGTTTTGAGAGCAAAAACAGAGCCCTAGAGAGAGAAAGTGCGAAGAACACATCCTAGAAGCTGTCCTAGAGCTGGATTTCATCGAATCGAGCCTGGAGATCGTCATAGGAGTGAAAATCATCGTCCCGGAGCAGATTATCCTCATCGTTATGAGTATGACTAATCCGATTCTTGTTTTCTCTTCTTTCTCTATGGAGTAGAACCCTTCTCTCACTTGGGTATGAAGAACCCTAGTTCCTTGTGTTAGGGATTTGATTGTAATGACTTGGGATGATATTACTGTTTGATTTTAATCGAATGACGCATGTTTATTGAATTAATTTGAGTCTGATCAGCTTTTCTCAATTTCTGCTTCAACCTGAGATAGATAGAATCTGATTAGGTTGTTAGAGCCTCTTCATTCGATAGCAGGAGATTGGCTATACGAGAGTTAGCCAGTTGACTGCTTTGTACTGGTGTTCTTGGCGCCAGTAGTGGAGTTCTGTGTTCATAGCCTCAGCTTTCTATCCCGGTGAAGACTAGTCGTCTGCCGGGTAGTTAGACTGAGAGGGCTTGGTCAGCTTAAGAGATTCCAAGCTACTGTCGGATCTTCCGCAGTCTAATCAACAGTAAATCAACCCAGGGAATTGCAATTGAACCTAACTAAGGGGCTAGGGGGACTCAATCCCGAGTGACTCTTGCCTGCTTTAGAAACCGAACAATTTACTGCTTTCTTGTTGCTTTTACTTTTCACAACAATCACTCGACTTAGTTTGCTAGATAATAGAGAATCACGGAGTAAGCAGTAGATCTAGACCCCGGGTTGATAATTAAACTTGCCTATAATGCAGTCCCTTTCATTGGTTACACTTGGCCATTGTTAGGTGTTGTGTTTTAGCGTGTCAGTATGTGGGTGGTAACTTGTGGTAAACAATGATGAAAGTCGTAAATGACATTTAGTATACTCCTACTATCATGTATTCAACCTTCTTACCATATTGGTATTAAATATGAGCATACCATATGGCAGCGGCGGATCCAGAACACAAAAGAGCATTGGGCCGCATTTTATTAGAAAATTAGAACCGTAAAACAAATCTAATGATTATAGTTTTGTTTTTACAATGTCAATTGTACACGACGGTATTTTAATTTAGCGAATGCATCAATAATGGAGTGCACATCTATACCAATAGTATACACTGTTTCAAATAAAAATACTTGAGCAATCGGCAAGAAATTCATCGCTTATTTTTTGCACAAATCATTTTTCACATGTTTCATTGTTGAAAAGGTTCCCTTCGTAGTAGCTGTTGAAACGAGCAGCGTCAACACTAGACAAATCAATCGACTAATCAATTTGCATTGTGTGTCCATCCTTATATCCACCAACAGCACAGTAAATTTTCAAGGGAACAAACCTCATATTTATTTTAGTCTATTACGTTTTAGACTTTTAAGTTTCATTGTTTTTTTTAGACGCACAATCTTTGGGGCAAGAATTTCTAAATATGTTCATCTGAATCATTTTTGTAGTTATACACAATCTTATTTTAAAATAACACTAGACCGAGTGCCTAAAATCGAAATTTTATAAGGACTATACTAATACCGGATCCAGAGGAGGGATGGGTCGGGGCCTGGGGTGGCCACCCCCTGGATCCGCCAATGCCATATGGTAATGACTGGTAAAAAATTATTCAATTTTTTTTGTACTAAAAATATATCAAAGTGGATATCATTTTAAAGAGCACATTTAATGTGATTTATCTGTGCAAAAAAAATTAAATTTCGACTTAAAACGAGAGAGAAATCGTCCGTTAAAGATTAAAGGGGAAAAGATATTAGACTTTCCAGGAGATCGGGGATGCTGATATCATGCTGATGTGGACAGGTTACTGATTGTTACTCACCATAAAATTACTGACCTGATCCGCTCTCTCGGTTGCAACCACAAGAATAATAAAGCATGCCGTATTTAATTCAGTTCCATTAAAAACAAAAACTGAATTCAAATCTCTACTTGTCTTCTAACACATAGTCGTATTGAACTATGCCTTTTTCCCAAATTAAAGAGCAAAGCTACTAGAGCAAGAAACCATTGAGCAAAACTACATTTCGTAGCTTGCCATTGTTCAGTAATGAACGTTTCAATCATCAATTAATCAAACCCACCAATTGGGTTAATGAATTCACTTCATTAGGTACTTCCACCACCCCACATATGCATGTATCAAATTGAAACCTGCCCATATATACTTCATGCTTCTAAGTCTATTAATACGAATTAATTCCCCCCTCATCATTCCACAAAGATCTCTTCTCCAATACCCAATGGCTTCTGCAGAAATACGCTCCCAAATTTGTCGAGTCCAGTGTTACTATGTAAGGCTAAGCCACCTCTTCCACCTCATCTCTTTTGTCATTGGCATCTCACTTGGAACGGTCGCTTGTTTGTACCTCAAGAGCTTCACTACCACGTTGAGTGCCACCATCACCATGTACCATGTCTCTTCCTCATCTTCCCTGCCACTCCAAGAACTAACCTCGCCGCCGCGGCCGCGGCCTCCACCGTGCCTTTTGCATAACATGAGTGACGAGGAGTTGCTAGCAAAAGCAACCAATAGTGCAGGAGAAGCATCACCACAAGGAGAACAAACCCCCAAACTGGCTTTCTTGTTCCTGACTCACGGCCCATTGCCCTTTTCCCCATTGTGGGAGACCTTCTTCCGTGGTTCCACCGGCCTTTACTCCATTTACGTGCACCCGCACCCTTCCCACCTCGACTCGTGGCCTCAAATTTCCCCATTTTACGGTACCAGAATCCCTAGCAAGGTCGTCCACTGGGGAAGCAGCACCATGGTCGACGCGGAGAGACGCCTCTTGGCCAGCGCCCTCCTCGACCCGTCCAACCGGAGGTTCGTCCTGCTCTCCGAGTCGTGCGTCCCGCTGTTCGACTTCGCCACCACGTATCGTTACCTCATGGGCTCGAGCCGGAGCTTCCTCAGCTCCTACGACGATCCACGAAGTGCCGGGCGCGGCCGCTACAACCCCAGGATGCAGCCGGCCATCAACGCCACCCATTGGAGGAAAGGGTCGCAGTGGTTCGAGCTCGATCGAGACCTGGCCCTGAGGATCGTGTCGGACCGGAAGTACTACAGGGTGTTTGAGGAGCACTGCAGACGGCGGTGCTACATGGACGAACACTATATTCCGACGATGGTGAACATGTTGTGGGCCGAGAGGAGCTGGAACCGGAGCGTGACTTGGGTCGACTGGTCGCGGAGCGGGGCCCATCCGAGGCGGTTTGGGCGGGCCGATGTAACCGACGGGTTATTGAACCGGATCAAACATGGGTCCAGGTGTGTTCGGGATGGGAACGTCACGTCTGTTTGTTACCTTTTCGCTCGCAAGTTCTCGCCCGATGCTTTGGAGCCGTTGTTGAAGGCTCAAAACTCCTCCATGTAATTAAGGCCATCTTAAACTCCAAGTTCCTTTTTTCAAAGATTAGTGGAAAAAAAAATTTCTTTCAAAACAATATGATGATAATTACTTAAGCATGTATAGGCTATAGCATATAAATTTGTAGTTACTATTGAGGCTTGGTCGTCCAGCATTTGTTATAACCAGATTCAATTGTTTAGAGATTTTAGAATGATCGCTTTGCAACTACGTTAAAATCTTTATAAAAAACTAGGATGAATACTTAAAATTTGATTAGTTATCATATGAATTTGGAATATTTGAAAGATACTAATGAATATTTGTGAGGTATTCAAAGGGAGCGAATATGTTTAGTAACCTAGTTTTTTTTTTATCATTAACTCACTCGTATCGCCAAGGAAAGAAAACATATCAAAGTGAATACATCGTCCAAAACCAGGACGTAAAATCAAACCCCACTAAACTGGGGAACAAAGAAATGGCATTTTTTCGCCACCAAAATGAGAAGCCCTATTTCTAACCCGACCAATAAAGTAGACATTCCAGCTCTGTAAATACTCTCCACGCACAACTATGTCAGCCAATGTAGTCAAAATCGCGGTTTAAAACTTAAAAACTTAAGATTTTACGTTTCTAGGTCACTAAAACGCTACTACACAAAATCTCAGTTTTTATAACTTATGTAGTTAAAAACTCCGCTTTAAAACTTAAATACTTACGATTTTACGCTTCTAGATCACCAAAACATTTCTACGTAGAAACTCGCTTTTAACTACATTGATGTCAGCTAAAATGGCTCCACCACAAACGTCTAATACCACGCCTCTCTTTACGTGAGCAACTCAACCAAGAATGGATCCACAACCCCATCAAACAACCGTCCTTCCACTGCCAACAGCATCCCCTGCGAATCCTGCATGATCAATCCCCCAGCTCCATGAGACCCAAGCCGAACCGCCCCATCAACAAACACACTCACATGATCTAGGGACACTGAAGCTAGCTCCACCACACCTTCCGGCAGACCTTGGGAAGTCGGTCCACGCATCTCCGGCCGAGCCTGCACCTGTGATTGCCACTCACCCACCTGCAAAGAGTACTGCATAGCCAATGTAACAAAGGAGAACTGCGTATGCTCAAACACCACCCAATTACAAGACTTTCAAATGCCAGAACAAAGATACCAAACTCATATCATGTTCCCGCCCCACCGCATGCTGTTCGAGAAACCTACGCCAAAATAAAACAACATTAATCATAGTTAAGGAATCATGAACAAAACCAGTTTTCTCCCAAAGCATATGCGTTGTATAGCAATCAAAGATATGATGCTCCAGCGACTCCTCGCCGTCCTCCCTACAGACAGGACACCTAAACAACCTCGACATCCCCCTGGATGCAAGGGCCTCCCCCATCGACAGAACCTGATGCAAGAGCTGCCATAGGAAAAATCGAAGTTTAGGCGAAATAGGCAGAGCCCAAACTACCGACCATAACCCTTTATCCAAAAACGAAGCTGCTGCTGCCTCAAACCGTGGCTCACGCGTTCTACGGAGCTCCGCGGCAAGATGATACCCAGAACGAATCGAATAAACACCTGAAGCCTCAAAGTGCCACACCAGCCGATCAGGAATAGAAGTCACCGACAACGGAATCTCCTTAATTGCCCGAACCATGTCTTCTAGGAACAGTTGGTGCAGTCTATCTCTGTTCCCAAGACTAACCTGAGGATGGATAAGAGAAGACACCAAGGAATCACTATCCACCAACCCCCGAAAAAAGGACGAGGAGGGAACGGATGCCAGTGTGGCACCGAGCTATCCTGTCCAACCCGAATCTGAGTACTTGAGCCCACCTGCCAACGCAACTCTTGCTGAAGTAGCTGCCTTCCCCGCAGTATTCCTTCCCATCCCTAGGATAGTAAAGAACCCGGACCAGCATCCAGGAAAGACGATTACGCAAGATACTTCCCCTTGTATATCCTGGCCAACAGAGACTCTGGTTCCATTAAGATCCGCCATGCTAGTTTAGCAGGAAGGGCAAGATTAAAGTCCTCGAATAACCGAAAACCTAATCTCCCCTCATGCTTTCCCAAACACATAGCTTTCCAAGCAATCCAATGAATACTGCGTTCCCCATGCTTGACACCCCACCAAAACCGAGCTAGCTGCCTAACCAAATCCCGAAATAAAGAAATCAAAAAGAGAAAACAATACATTACATGGATATGTAAATCACTTGCCACAACCTTAATCAATTATAACGATCAATTATAAGAGTTGACTGTCACATGAATAAAAGTTAACTGAGACTAACAAAGTGACCAAATTTAAACTATTGAATTAATCTTAATGACCCCAAATGAAATTAAGTATGTAGTGATCGAACTTGAACATTTTTAATAAACCCATTGACCAACCTTACAATTAACCCTTTATTTTTAGGTATCTCCTTCAATCTCATCATTCACTTGTATTTTCTTTTTTTAATCTTTCAATAGGTATCCCCGTATTCTTTGAATATTATGGATCACCATCCACAGCCTACCGTGGTCGTATCTTGGACCCCTTTAAATATTTCGTCAAGTTCAACACACACAAAAATCCTTAGTTGGAGTGCGGGATGGAACCAGAGCTAAAACAAAATCACCGAATCAGACAAAATTATCATCAGCCGTGAAAGTTACATATACACAATCCTTACATGGACTATAAAGGTGAAAACTTGAGACCAAAAGTTGGGGAAAGAAAATGAACAAAATCCACTTTTGGGAGAGCTTCACAGCGCCCACACGGAAGCCTTACACTCACGGTAAGTAGGGCATTGATACTGGTATCTTCACAGCTTCGCTATTGCTGCCCCAATCTCTCCTGTAATTACATGGGAATCCATTTCCATATATTATGTTTGGAATAATAAAAAGGTTAAGAATTGAATTCCATTAGGTCTAAAAAATTTAGGAATTACAATTCCTATCAAAAGTGATAGAAATTGAGAGAATGAAGATGAAATTAGGACCCATCAATACTTTTTATTATTTTATTGACCCACTATCATTTTACTCTCTTTCTCTCTCATTCATATTTTATTTCTCAAAATAAAACAAACATATTACATTATTTATTATGGTTAAAAGTGCAATTCATTTCCATAGTTATAGAAATTATACCAAACACTAAAATTAAAAATTAAATTCTATAAAAATAAAAAATTAAATTCTATTTCCATTTCTTCCAGAATTGTATCCAAACAGGCGGTAAGAGACAAAGTCATGGCGCAATAATATGATCTTGTAAGATACAGAGTTAGTAGTAACCTGAAGCATCTGCATCAACCTTGGGTGTTGCTCCAAGAGCCGGCATAGCTCATCCTTGTTACTCAACAGTGCCTGTTATGAAACAAAAACGCGATTGCAGTATCAGAGAACCAAATTCAGCTAAACCACACACCAAAGCAACACTAAGGGTGTGTTTGTTTCCGCAAAAATAATTCACTTTTAAACTAATACAGACACTTCTTCAATCCAAGATTTTAAAACACTATAGCCTAATAAAAGCACATCCTGTAGTTCAGGGGGATGGATTGCAAATACCGTAATTGCTTGGGGATCTCTGAAGTACTCGTGCAACGAAAGATCCTGCTGTTGCTGGGATGAAGAACCATCTCCTTGAGAATGCTGCAGGCCTTGCTCATGAAGTTGTTCAACTTGCTGCTGCTGTCTCAACTGAGGGATCTCTTGCTGTTGACCTTGATATTGAGCATGCATGGCAACCATTTGAGGCTGTTGCATCATTTGCACTTGATGGACTGGAACCTGAAACGGATTTTGCAAAGGCGGCAAACCTTGTTGTTCCAGCTGCTGCTGATGAGAAGATGGCTGCAAAGGAGGCCAGAGATGGGCTTGTGAAGGACGTTGCAGTGGTGGCTGTAGAGGCTGCAACTGATGCATTGACTGAGCGATGGGGATATTCTGCAGCATGCTCGGGGTGTCGCCACCTGGTTGCTGAGTTGCTCCTGTGTTTACATAAGGCGGCCGGCTGAAGACCAATGGTTGCATCAGTGGAGGATGCGGGTAGGAAGTTAGGCCAGCCACCATAGGAAACTCGGTATATCCCGATGACTGTGGAGTTGAAGCGGGCTTTCCAGAAGGCAAATGGTAAGGGCCAGCTGAGAAAGGAGGTGGCGGTGTTGGAGGAAGCGGTGGATGAGTTCCGGCTGACCCACTCGGAGAAGAGACGTTAGAACTCCTTGAAGAATATTTGGAATCTGCTAAAGAATGGGAGGATGGTAGACGTGCAGGACTGTTTACAAAAGCAGGAGGATATTCTGATTGAGCCTGCAAACAGTGTAAATGATGATGAAGAACCTGAACAAACATGAATGATGGGTATGTTTCGCTTTTGCTAAAATAGATTTTAATTGAATTGAAATGGTATGAGATAGGTTTAAGCAATAAAATTGTATTTGGATGACAGGATAGTAGCGTATTCAATACTAACAAAATTAACTGATTCTGGAAATCACTATTTGGCCATAACTTAAAAGAATGTACTTTCATTTCAAAGCAAAATAGTACGGTGACTTGGCTTTTAATGAATAGTTTTTTAAAGAAGTTAATTTAAGGAGCGAGGTTGTTTCAGCTATAAAGTTCACTTTTTAAGAAACAATTTTTCAAGCTCAAACAAGCATAGCCAAGGTTATACAAGGGCAATTATGAAGAGACGTAATTCTGCCCATGGAAAGAATGAATTTGACAGCTGTACCTCTGCAAAAGACTTCAAGAAGGGGGATGACAGACTTGAGCCAGGATCAAGACCCTGAGGTATGATTCCAGGCGAGACAGACGATGATGGAGGTGGTATTGGAGGCAAAGGCGGTTGATGAATACCAATCCTATGCTCATAACTTCCTCGAGATCCCGTTGCACTACGAGGGCTGTTCTTCATATAGACATTCGGAGTTGTTCTGGCATTCATTGGTACATGCAAAGACGAAGAACCTGGCCCACTATTGTAGTAAGTTCCACCACCAGCGCCATAATCATCCCCCACAGAGGTTATACCCCGAAATATGCTCTTCGAATCATCAGATTGCTCATAGAGCTTCTTATCTGAAGGAACACTATGCTCTCGAGTTAGTGGCATTTCAGGTCTAGTGGCAGCCGACATCCGTGAAGAGAACTCGCTCTGTGCATTTTCATCAGCATCGGATGATGCCAGTGGAGTATCACTCTGTGTGTCCTCAACAATTGATTGAGGAGAGCTTTGTTCAAGCATGACAACAGGAGCAGGTTGCTGAAGATTGTCATCTGGCTGAGGAAATAGCAACTTGTCATCAGTCTCGGACTCCTCAGCATCAAACACTATATCTATACCATGGAGATCATCATCTATATCAATTTTTAGCTGCTTAGACTTGTTGGCTTTCTCTTTATCAACATCATTGTTAACAACAGCAGCAGCCAGTTTAACTTGTGATGATGATGGCTCTCCAACTACACCAGCAGCCATTGGATTCTGTCTTTGTCTTTCTCTAGCCATGAATTCATCCACGTGAATTGAAGGAGGTCTTCCGCCACCAGACCCTAATCGTTGGACAGAAATAACATTTGAATTATTCCCCACCCCATCGACGCTTCTCTCTCTAGCAACATAGTCATCGACATGCATGGATGGAGGCCTGCTAGTGTTTGGTTTTCTCTGTCTGAAGGAGTCTCTGCGGATAGGACCAGTAGAGGCAGTAGTTGGGCCCATTCCCCGACCAAATGAATTCTGTCCTGTTATTTCGGCCACTGAACTTTCACCCTTCACTCGCTTGCCAGAACTGTCCACAGATGATAACTTCCGTTTTGCAGGAAGGTTTTGTGATAATCTGTCAGGCATTATCTCTGGACATTCCCATAAGAAGTTGTCTGCAAGGCCCCCAAGCAGAACACAGTCATCATCCATCTCACGATTTGCATTTGAAGAAGCAAGAATATCAGTAGAGAGCAAAGCATCCCTACTAAATCCAATTTCATCTAGTGTCACAGAACCTCTGGGTTTTTGAAACAGTAACATCAATGCGTTGGCAGATTCTAGAGCCTGCAAATCAAAAGGCAGTGGATGAGTGTCAGAGAGAAAAATATGCTATCATTACAAAATAGGTCACACAGGCCCTCTCCTATATGTCTTTACCTGATACAGAGTGGCTTGCACAGCGACATGGTAGTTGTTTGTGATCTTTGAATTCAGCACTGTAGTCATTTCCTCTATGGAGGATAAGGCTTCCGAAGGGCTGTCTGTCTCATTCATGTCATTTGGGATCCCGTAAAGGTATTTTATGGCAGCCACTGCATTCCAGTTCAAACTGACAGACAAACAAATGTGCCTCATGGTTAGTCAGCCTTTTTCAAGTTTATTGATCACAGCATGGCAGCACTGATACAAGCATTCAAAGTGCCCCAACAAGCTACCCTATAAATGAAATATCTTTAGAGATATCATAATGGGAAAAAAGGCTTCAGACGAGGGCTCTGAAGCAAATTACGGACCATGTAACATAAACAAAGAGGTTGTTTGGATGTAGGACTTAACTCATGAATTTTAGTACAACATACATGAGTGGAGGGTTTCTTCCAAGACCCTTGTGTGGTGGAGCGAAAAATAGGTGGCAAGTACATGGAGGAAAACCATCAGGGTGCCAACTCCGTGGGCGAAACGATTTCAAAAACCAATCCCAAAGGAAGGGTCTGTGAAATCTTTCACTAGTACTGTCTATTTGTGCCTTTATCTTTTTGTCAATTCCATGGAAGAGGAATGGAGAGAATTATAATGGTTAGGGCATGATGGTCATTTTTAGTTGTAAAGTCAATCCACTACTACAATGACACATACAAACTACAAAATTTTGTTCCTTCCGGGACATCCAATAAAATTGGAAACAACAAAATTTTGAAATCCATAAATGTCAAAATTCAACAATTTTCAATCCATTGATTTTGCACAATCCATCACTTTTCAAAATCCTACATCCGAATAACTCCGAAATAATTCAAGACAGATGAAAGCACGAAAAGAGGGCTCACAAGAGTAAAGTTATATCACCCACATAATATTTTATGGTGCTGATTTAATATATTAGTCCGTGATGATCTAAGATGAACCTCTACTTCACCTGTACAACTGATGCAATGCTCCTACAACCCAACTACCCCTTAGATAAAATATATAAATTAAGTAAAACAACCAAATTTACTTCCAAATGGTATTAACATGCCAACTGACCTCTTTTCATTGACGCAGAAACTCAAAGACCCAGCTGACAATGCATTGATAGCCTCCACTGCCCAAGTTGATAGTCCATCCGAGTGATCAACAAACTTGAGCAATTTCATCCAGCAATGCAACAAAGGAGGGTTATTGCTCCATTCGTAAACATCACCACCACGATTTCCATTCCTTTCATCACCTTTGTGTGATTCTACCTCCATAAGTGTTCCATTGACAACACTGCTCGAAGAGGTCAACAAAGCACTCCGACCTTCACTGCAACTACCCATTTCCTTAAGACTGATTAGACAGGAAAGCAATTCTCTTCCAACTGGCAAGGCCTGGAAAAAATAAGGGTGTTTATTAAAAAAACCCTTTCAGAGTTAAATTGAAAATGAAAGAACAGGAAGTAACCTGGCAGAAATTCAAGAGATGGGGTAGAATCGATGCGCAGTCCTGAGAACTAAAGCTTACAGCATGGCTACAGTGGATTTAAGAAATGATTAGTCCATTAACCAAAGTAACCTGACAGCATAGGGAAACTAAACTTTTCCAATATATGTATACGTACAAGTCACAATGTCCAGAGTACGGTAAAGACGTTTGAGAACCACAAAGCAAAGCGATGGACTTGAACGCAGGAAGGCAGCACATGCTCAGAGTGACACCAGATTTTGCAAGACTTTTGCTCTCTGAGAGATGAATTCCATCTGAATCAATGGCATTAAAACACCTCTCTAGAGTCTCAATTAAAAGGTCAGCAATGCCTTCCTCCAATAACAGCACCTAAATCAAGGAAATGTACATGAAGAAGATCCGATCCAGCTGCAGAAACATATGATAAAACAAAGACAAACATACCTTGGCACGTGGATGCTCCAGTACACTAGCAAGAAATGCAAGATACCTATAAACCTGAAGTGAGAAAAAGAGGATATCAAATATTCACAAAACAAAGGCAAAGGACAATGAGTCCATGACCATAAACAATTTCAAGTCCATTAATTAAAAACAGAGAAGAAATGTATTTACCTTGTAAACATCTTTCTGTGACAGAGAAGAACAGTCAGAGAGATGGTCACGAACAGATGATAACAAAGGCTTGATAAGAACAGAAGCATTGATCGGTTTTTGGCAAGTAATGCGAATTATGAAGACCCGGAGCATGTCTTGGATGACAACCAATCTCTGAATATAGGAAAAAGAAATTATAAAATGAAAACAGTTCTAGATGACTAGTAGAGTGCAATTCCAACTACAATCTAGAGATGGAAGTCCGCACGAAACAATGATGAGTAAGCACGTACGGAGATGGCATAGTGTCTGATAATCAGGGCGATTTTATCAAGTTGTGGGGTCAACTGGTTGAGCAATTTCTCCCGGTGGGAAGGCTCAAGATACCAGTTGATATGTCTTTCCTTATGTGGACCTAACAGTGTTCCCACAGCCAGCGTTCTTACAGCACTTAACAAGGGCATTCCGTTCTTCCAAAGCCAAACACCTTCTTCAGGGAACAGATAATTCTTGCAATTACAGAGAATGAAGCATTAAGTACCGATAAACAAAAATAGCAAACAAAATAAACCTCCACATCAACCCATTCAACCAATTTATGGCCATTACTAACAGATACCTAGTTCAGCAAAGTAAGAAGCATCACTGCCTGAAGAAAATGGCAAGCCTAGCCAGAAATAGAATCATATGCATGCACTCTCTGTTTCAAGAATAAGCCATCGCATCCAAGTGGGAGATAAAACCTGGAGTTCGCATACCAATAGACAAAGCAAGCTACATGTTTCCTTTGGGCCCAAACCCAGCAGTGAAGTTGATTGAACATTTGCAAGGAGGGAGTGGAAAAGACCAGGTGTCCATCCAGCCACCGGCCAGAAGCTAAGAGCTGACACAGTCAGATGGCAGACAGCTCCAAAACCAAGTGCTGAATCAGGATAAGAAGATGATAAATCTGCTGTGCATGCAGCAAGCTTCGGGCTGCAAGTTCAGGTATCTGGTATTATTATGAAAGCTACAAAGCACAGAAACAAATAGTCAGACACAAGAAAAAATATGTAATATACCTGACTTCTCGGTGAAGGCGGAGAAGCGCATTCATCAACTTTGTGTTCCTATGCTGTTCTTTTGCTTCCTGCAACCACGAAAAATACCGAAGTCTGTTCATATTTCGTGAAGAACAAGCAGCAAAGCAAACAGTTCCAATTACTAAATGAGCTTTATATAGCAGCTATATCATTCCCAATGCCACAATTGGTATTCATGAATCCAGACAGATCAAAACAGTTTTTCTACACCAGTTGTCATGTACCCTTAGATGTCTTTATAGGGGAATGACAAGTGGAAAAGAAGAGAAGGGGAAGAAGGTAGATCTGAGGTGAAGCACCACCAGGCATCTATGTCCATGGTAGTTTTCAGGAGGCAAAAGAGGTAAGCAAGCTAAACTTAACTTTCTGTTCATACATTTTGGTATACCGATTAACCACTCTGAATAAAATACCTAGTATGCAATAAAACCTTCAGCAGAGTTAGATTAGAAACCTTAACAATTCGTCAATTCATAAATAAATGCTTTCCAAATGTATAAAATATGGAAGAAAAGGAAGAGTGGAGATAGAAAAAAATGCTTTCCAAATGGCTCACAATGGTGTGGGGCAAGCTTCATTTGATATTACCTATAATTTCAATCTCATCAACATACTCAATAGAAATAACAAACGTGCAAGGATGTCACATCTATAGACCAACCAGACACCTGAAATACAGTTACCTATCTCACTGCATCAGTTAAATGTTATCCACTAAAAAAATACAAGTAACAACTATGATCAAGAGACTCCCAACAAAATGCACCATACCTGCAACTTCTGAAGAAGTGCAATCAGCAATACCAGAGAAGGAACCAAAAGATCGACTAAGCTTTGCTCGCGGTTACGCTCCAATAACAAATCAGATGTCGAATTGCTTTCTGCCCCCTCATCGACAAGATAATCTGTTCAAGAAAATGCAATCAGTGTATAACAATAAAAAGTAAGCAAGTCAAGAAAGAGTCCAGATGGCCTAAAACTATGAAAAAAGTCTGCTGCAAAAATAGTTTCACATAGTAACAGAATAAAATTCATATTCGGATAGAGATACAACCTACAAAAATAGTCAACCGAAACTCCAGCACTACATTTTCCCAGGACTCTTTTTCCCCTTTCATGATCATTTTACCAGGAATCAAAAAGCAAGTAATTCGGTGGATATTGGATAATAATTAACAACGACCAGGAAACCATTGGTAATAACAACACATGACTATTGACAACTTAAGAGGTACCATTATGAGCTTCAAACTTACTGTCCCCAGTGAACGAGTAATACACCACATGCAAGCTTTTAGTTTTTGGGTGGGTAGATGTTAAGAGAAGATTTTAGAGTCACTGGAACTAAAATAAGAACTAAAAAAGTAGGTCAAAGATGACAGATAGAATACGTAACCTTTGCATCTTGTATGTACCCGTTTTGGCATATAACAATGCAGGCTAGGACTTGGGTAACAATTATATACTTGAGCAAAAAGTGCTTCTTCATAAAAGCTTAGAAAGCACATTCTCCGGTCTAATCATACAGAAGGCTTTGCCGGTTACTATATGGTCCTATCCCTAGCCTACTTCCAATCCTTGGGGGTCAAGATTCACTTCTAAATATATATAAACACAAACTAATGTACATCTATATATGCTCCTTTCTCGGGTAAAAAAGTATCATGAAGACAATTTATATCGTGAAACTAACCGTAGATATTTGATGACTTCTCCATCATAAAGCTGCAGTTCACAACAATAGCATAGATAACTGTCAGAGCACCTTCATCGTACAAACTTGCCGCAACAGTCTGCATGAATAGAAGTAAAGTGAGCCCAAGCGAGAATAATCACCATGGTATGTCAGTACGAGTGCAGTCTACATACTGAATTTTCTGAAATGAAGGCCAAAATTCGAATGGCTGTTGTCAGCTGCGCTATTGCAGAGTCACGAAGTGTAACACCATCAAATGTCTTCTCGGAGACAATTTTTGCCAGATTTTCCATGACATGTACATCAGAACTACCTGAAGCATCTCCCACCACATTCTCAACATCTGTTAAATCTGAAACTAGGGTGCTGGCAGACGTTAGATGTGTATCCCCTCCAGATGCTAACACAGCAGAATACTTAAGAAGACCAATAGCCCCGTTTTTGTGGTAAACAACTCCAGCATCTATCCAATCCAACAGCCGTGTTGGAGCATCTTTCCTATTAGAGCCAGGGGAAGAAGAATGTAAGGCTTTATAGAGGTCCATCACATGTCCAATCCAAGAATTCAAGGAGGATGCAGTTGTGTCAGTAATAATGACTTCAAATATCTCCGCGGCTGAGTGAAAAATCGCCACGTCTACAGGGGAAGCTCCTGCATTTAAAGATTCATGTCCATAAGTGGTTCAATGCAATTCATATCTATGATTAAGATGACCTAACAATAATATCTTTATATAAGTTCAGCACTGAGTTACCACCACTTCTGACATCTGGCTCGGTTTCCTTTACCGCATATAAGGCTTCAATCAAAGTTGATATAACCTAACAAATATAGATGGATAAATGAAAAAAAAAAGTATGACACCATGAAGCAAAATAAAGAAAGTATGCTACGTGAAAATAATTATATAGATCATACAGGAGGCACAACTAAAGATAGCATCAGATGTATATGATACCATACCATTCCTATCGAGCCTCAGAACATCTTTCACACTAAACTTTCCAAAGTTATAATGAACTGTATCTTATAAATAAAAATCAGGGCCAAAAAGCAAGATAGATGTTCTAACAGCCTGCACTCCAAAGTTTGTGCAAGCACAAGAAAGTGACTTGGCGATTCCTATATCCCTGAGGATATAAATAACCTGAGCATCGCTTACCTCAGGAAAACACCCCAGTGCCAACAAAGCTTGGCGACCACAATCAGATCTGCAAACCAAGTACCCAACAAGGGTCAATCCCTCTGAATCTAGATCTAAAAATAGATGGAAAAGAACAGTCAGTAAGTTCAACCTGGAGAGACCACAGAGCTCCCACAACACCCACAAGAATTCTTCCGTATGTTGAGTTAGTAAAAGCAATCTGTCGATAGCATTCACCTGACACAACAGGACAAATATTTAGCTTTAAACAAGTAACTCAAACAAAACGAAAACAATTCACATTATTTGAATTGACTGACCACTCTCAAATGCATCTCAATAATCATTGCCACTTCCCGAGGACCACAAACAAAACCCTTCGCCGTTAAAATAGATGCATATCTGAGTGGAAGGCATTCTTCCATTCTCGTGTCAGTTGCATTCCTCAAAGCATCAATTATGGTATTTGAAAGTTCCGGGTGGCTTGAAAGGAAAAGTAAACCTGGGAAGCAAAGATAACAAATGAAGACATTCAAGCCCATATCTAAGGGGGAAACTTTGCATGAACGGCTTTCGGGGTAAACCTGAGCGACGCATAAGAAGAGCGAGAAGTATGGCCCCAATAGTTGATGCAATCTCAACAAATGTGCCCATGGTATCTCCGACTTCTGAGCGCAAAATAGGCGATGCCAAAAGTGCAGCTGATAATGGAAGAAAGCCTCTCTCCTGTATCCACCAAACGACAACCAATTAACAAAAACATTCCATCTCTGAAGAAAACCATATTCAAGTCCCTCAAACTACAATTATTGGAGTTATTGGTTAGTTGAACACAAGCTCCCTTCTTGTATTAATTACAATAATTTTGTAAATTGAGTCACTTCTGACAAAAGCCAAGCTTCCTGATCTTTAAAAACATAATTATAGTGACAGAAAACAAAAACAAAAAGGTTATAAAGGGCAAAAGTTGAATATATAAATGCCCTATTCCAAAGTGTCCAGGCCAGAGAAAAGAAAAACACCTTTGGATTGCCAAATTAGCCAACAGTCTTGTCATTTTTTCTAAGTTTAGCTTGTCAGATGGCTAACTTAGATCAAAATGAGCTAAAATAGCTTCCAATGTCTTCAAACATTTTAAAAATTATCACTTCATCAATCACAAAACTATATACATAACAGCATTGGTGGCCATGGATGCAGTGAACTTTAAACTCCCAGAATTCCACCTTTAAGACAAATTTGGAGCAGATTATATTCTCTTGAACCAATGAGATGATGAGAAATTCATAGTTTTGAACTTATTGATCTTGTCCACTCCTAATGACAAGATGTGAGAGCAACCACAGAAGCACTTTGCTTAGCACACCATATTGATGAAGACTACACCCTATATACTTACACGAGACAAACTCAGAGGGAGTTATACCTTGAGAAGTCCCAGCAAATGGGGGTCAAGATCACGGTTGAAAAAAGAGCAATCAGAGGAACCAATCAACCCCCTGGTTGATTCATAAGACAATAGCCCTTCTGTTCGACCAAGAATCAATGATCGACTTGCTTGAGCCACCAGAGAAGGATCTTCAAGTGGACCAATTGAGTTGAGCAATTTCTGCAAGCCGATTACAAGGTTAATATCTTAATGACAGATCGAGATACTATAAATGGAAAAGGTAGTAGAGAACTGACCAAGAGTTTTTTTAGTTGAAATAGAACACTCCCAAGCATGCTTTCCCTTAGATTTGTTACTCTTCCGTCAGCAGGCAGACCGGCCAACACACATAGAACAGCAGACTGAAAAAGAAAAATACAAATTACAATGATTGAATATATATGACAGATGCATTTGGCAACTGCGTGGTACCTCGTATCTTGAAGCAACTTCATAGAATCTTAAACGATGAAGGATGTAAGACGAAAGGGAAGCAACATCATGGCGTGGTTTTTCCAGGAACAGCTTCAACAACTGGCTATACCCTTTGCTAAACCCAGAAGGCACATTTTCATCTTCCCTTGGCCACCAGCCTAAGATTCCTTCACACCCAATTGGATGACGTGTAGCCCGCTCTATAACTGCGAGTAAGAGTAAGACAACTGCGGAAGAATTCTGTATGTCATGAGAGAAAAAGTGGGCAAGTTGCTCAATTCCCCCATGATTCACAAAGTGAAAGCAACTTTCTCTGCTAGAGCACAGTAAAAAGGCCACACACAGGCCCAAAAAGTTCTTCCTCTGAAACAAAAATTTGAAAGAAGAAACCCATAAGATTCTTTCAGCACCAAAAATTAAAATATGGATATATTGCAAACAAGAGTAAGAAATATACTCCTGACACACAATATGAGGAAGACAGTAGATAATGAGATTGAACGAAAGAGACTAAGAGATCTCTTCTTATCCTAAAGTTCCAAATCGAAGACAGTAGATAATAGCTAAGAGGTGCTTCTGTAAGATAATCACCTTTAAAAGCTCCTGTGGATGAGAAGAGTTCTTGCCAAAACAAAGGCACAAGCCCAACATGTCCACCAATTGTTTGGAAGTAGCCATATCACCTTCAGATTCAAGAAAACTGCCATCCGTCAATGACTGGGCTGCATCATTCTCTGAACAACCCTGAAGGACTCCAATAAGCTCGTTCGTAGCCTCATCAATAACATGGGAAAACTCTTCCAGCTCCTTGGATCCACCTCCTTCAGTTACCTTGTGACACGAATCATGAGTGACTCGGGAACAAACAGCTTTGACTATGGTACTTACAACTTTGTACACAGATCCCTCAATGAGAGGCATCTCTAGCATCTTGGAGATGAGGTGTAAGAACTTTTTGACTTCCATACGCAAATCCAGAGCGGCGACAGGAAGAGATAATACTTTCAGAGAAATTAATGATTCTGTTATGACTCTTGAACTTGAATGAAATGCCAGAGGCAGATCTTCTAGCTTTCCCTCGGCAGAAGTGACAAGATTAGTCAAAGAGTTATCATCAAACTCAATATTAAACTGACCTAGATCCTCTGCCGTGTTTCCATATATGACCAAACTCAGACTGTGGTAGCTGCCTCTTACAACTAGATGGTTAGTTACAACAGCCTGCATTTTATCAGTGTGACTATTTTCAGATAAAGTTTCAAATTTTGAGTATATTATATCCAGCCCGCAAAGGACTTGAGGTCTTGACACAGGAGGACAGAACATCAGACATTCAAAGAAAAGAATGTCAGCTCCAGTGAAGGGAGAAGATATTTAAGAATGACGGACGAGCAATGTGTGCAAAAGAATAGGTTTATGGCTCACCATAGAAAGAATTATGCAAACTAGAAGCAAATGCAGCACTGGTACGCATACTAATATAGATAGTGCAGTTACCTCCACTTCCAAAACATTTGACGACGAATGAGAATAGAGGAAGGGGTGGCACAAACGCCTAAATCTCGTCTCCCCCTCGGATTGTACAAATACCTCCAAAGCAAATGAAGGAGGCGCAGTAGCCCTGCAACATAATGATAACGCTTTAGTCAAGAATTACACACAAAAGCCATTACGCAATCCTCCTGTTACAAGAGATGACACAAAGTAGAGATTGCGATGGGGCAAACCAATGCAATCAAACAATGATGTCCATTCAGCCCCAATGGATTCCCTCCGTTACGTAGAACACACATAGAAAGATTAGAAGGCATCAACAGAAACGTACCCAACCAGTGACACCACTTGGGAGCCAGAAGGTGCGTTCTGTTCGAGGAACTCGCAAGCTGTAATCACAACTGGCTCGCCGAACAACACCTGCAGCATAAAGAAAGCAAAAACTTCGTCATTGAACTGCCTTCAGCCCAAGATTTCGAACAACAAAATCCATGATGCTAAGACACAGTAACAGATTGGTCTCATGCTGCAAGTAACTTCAACAGTTCGAACTCCGAGCCCGAATTCCTGAAAGCACAACCAGAGTATGATTCCACAACAGTGAGGAGTCGACAATGGCAGAAAACGGGAACACTAACCTCGTCAACGTACTCGTCGAGTTGAGGGTGGACGAAGGTCTGGGAGAACAAGACGCAGGGCTCGGGTCGAACCATATTTGGTCGTTAATTCGGATCCTAAATGTTATTCAGTCGAGAGGAAAGAAAGAATTCATGAGCTTTCTAGGGTTTATGAAAGGGTGCCATAAGAACTCCAAACTAGCAAGTCCCCGGAAGACCACCGGCTGACGGAGGCGGAAAGAGGTGCTAAACCTTTTGGGGGCGACGGCGCTTCTTTTGGACTTTTGGTTCCTTCAGCCAATCCGACTGATCACTGATGTCTATATTACTGTTGCTAACTTGGTAAATGGTAATTGGTATCGACCGGACTCCAATCCCGGTTTTTTTAAAGGGTACTTTGTTTTCAAATTATGGTGATTTGAACCATAATCATTTTAAAGCGAGTGAAGAGCTGCAACTAATCACACTACACATATTTGTTGGGTTAATTACATGGTTGGTCACTGAGATTACAAAAAACGTTCACGTTTAGTCACTGGAAATATTTAAATCCAATCTTGGTCACTCAAATTATTTAAATGGTTCAAGTTTGGTCACTCTCCGTCCATTTCCGTTAACTCTAGCTTACGTGGCAGTCAACTTTCATAGTTGACCGTTAAATACGTGACGTGGCAATTAAAAAATTATTAAAAATAAAAAAAATAATCTTTTACATTTTCCACCTCATTATTACATTAATTAAAAAACAAAAACAAAAATATTTTGTCCACTGATAGAAAGAAGAGAAAAAATTCCCAACCTCCGTACTCTTCCCCCACCACTCTTTTCCGAGCTCTCTTCCCAGTTCCCCCCCACCATTAACCCTTCTCCAACCATTTCCATTCCAATCCCCAGAAATCCCTACCAAGAAGGAGGCAACAACGATAGTGATGAAATCAAAGACAGTTCAAGAGAAGAAGAAGGGGAAAATAAAGGGAGAGTGAGGAAATCCGAACAGAGAAGGGAACGAAAAAGAGAGAGGCGGCTCCCGTGGTCCTCTCCGTCGTCGTCAGCTCGCCGTCCTCGAGGCATCAGCCGATTCACCTCTGTCGCTGCCTCAGCCTCCACCAGCAAGACGAGCGAGTCCTCCAGCGGCTCGCCGGCGACGAAACTGATTCACTCTAGTGAAACGACGCGCTGTGATTGTTCATCGAGCCGCGTCGGGATCTGACGAATTGGAAACCTAATTGGCCTTTGATTCGGATCTCCGGCGCTGTTAGCGGAGGAAGATTGGGCGCAATGTTCAGATCTTGAGCTTCAATGATTGTGACTCGCAAGTACCACAGTTTTGGGGATTGGTAGACCTTTGAACGGGTGTGAGCGACGTACGGCGCGTCGGAGCTCCACGCCTCCGGGAACGCGTCGTCCGCTTGAGTCCCGATCCAGACGGAGAGCTGGACGTCGCCGGAGACTCTGCAGGAATTTTGCTCACCGCCTTCGAGACGGTACCACTGAGGAGCGAGCGGGCTGTCCGGCAGATCGCGGACGGGGACATCAGAAAGGTCGAAACAAATACCGCCGAGAAATTGCTCCGTCGGAGCGTCCCAAACAGAGATTTCCAGCGTCGTGCTCGCCGAGTCAGGCCTGTTGCAGGGGAGCGCAAAGACCTAGTTCCAATCGGGCGAGTCGGGCGGCTCGCTGGGGCGCAAGTTACAGACAATTTTTTTTTTTTTTAATTAATGTAATAATGAGATGGAAAATGTAAAAGATTATTTTTTTATTTTTAATAATTTTTTAATTGCCACGTCACATATTTAACGGTCAACTATGAAAGTTGACTGCCACGTAAGCTAGAGTTAACGGAAATGGACGGAGAGTGACCAAACTTGAACCATTTAAATAATTTGAGTGACCAAGATTGGATTTAAATATTTTCAGTGACCAAACGTGAACGTTTTTTGTAATCTCGGTGACCAACCATGCAGTTAACCCCCATATTTGTTGTATCTTTTAAAAGAAAAATATAGGGTTAATATTTTCGTATGGCCTGAACTTTGACCAAAATAAACATCCTCATCAATCTTTTCGATCTATAACATTCTGGCCCGAACTATACACCAAAATAAACAATTTGGCCAAATCCGATGTTTGACCATTAACTTGGATGGTCAAACGCGTTGACCGTAACTTTGACCAAAATAAACATCCTGACCAATCTTTTCGATCTATAACATTCTGACCCGAACTATACACCAAAATAAACAATTTGGCCAAATCCGATGTTTGACCATTAACTTGGACGGTCAAACGCGTTGACTAACGGTCAACGCGCCACGTCACTGCCAAGTCAGAAGGTCTGATAAATATTTAATATTTTTCATTTTTCATTTTTGGTTTAACTAAGGTAATAGATGATTTTTTTTTAATTTATAATAATTTAAAATTAGGGAATGTGTGGAAAATGTGAATATTTTAAATATTTTATGCTGACTTGGCAGTGACATGGCGCGTTGACTAACGGTCAACGCGTTTGACCGTCCAAGTTAACGGTCAAAAGTCGGATCTGGCCAAATTGTTTATTTTGGTGTATAGTTCGGGCTAGGATGTTATAGATCGAAAAGATTGGTCAGGATGTTTATTTTGGTCAAAGTTCAGGTCATACGAAAATATTAACCCAAAAACATACACAAACCTAACATTTGAAAAATCATAGGACTTTTACAATGGTTAGTTAGCCACTAAATCTCCCATAAGTACTTATTTGGTGATTTGATACTTTGATTAATAATATTTTGATTATTTTAATTGTAATTTAATACTTAATTTGCGTTTCTATGTATATTATAAATAGTGGTTAACTTTAAAATTGCAACCCAAATATAACTTGGTTGCATATCAAATTGGAGTATTAAGTAGGTCGAAGCAATGTCAAAATTTTATTTTAGTATTAATTTTTAAAATTACTATGAAGAAATCATATTGTTGTGTAGACTATATGAAAGGGGTTTTTAACGTTTAAGCTGGGTTAACCACTAAGTTTTAAACATGTTCCTAATTCGGCATGATTAGATCCAATGATCATTGTATGATATTGAGTTTAATTATTGGTTCATTTCACCATTTTTTGACATGTTAATGAATTTCTAGGGCAATGACATATGTCTGAGTCTTAACATCTACACACAATACAATATATATATAAGATTGGAATAAGAAAAGTATTATCCAATTTTAAATTCCTACAACGAGATCCAAAATATGAATGACATATTTCCTTCACAATTATAAAATTTATTTCTTTATAGACAATAGACAAGTATTGGAATTTTAAACAATGTATCTTAAAAGAGAAGACAAGAATTATAAGCATGATTTTCAACCCATTGATCGAATAAGTTTAGCCCAAACTGAGTATCTGTTAGGACGCTTGAGGCCGAGTTGGTTATCAACCCAAACTTGGTCGAACCAGGAAACCCAATCAAATTAGGAAATCAAATCGATTCAACTAACTCATACAAGCACTGAGTCACTTCAAACCGACATCATTTTCAACAAATCTAATCACTAGCAATGTTGACATGTCGGCCTTTTCTTTATCATAGACCCATGTAGTAGCGTACATCAGCCACTCGTGTTCGGTCATCCCATAAGATCTTTTTCCTCCTTTAGTATCGACAGACAACAATACAAACCTCAACTATCTCAAAAGCTAACATAGTTCCTGAATAGTCAATTCCATTTTCCTTCCAGCTGCAAGGTCACGACCTCACAGCGCCAATGAACCACATCTCATACAAAGAATAAACAAAAAAGATTAGACAAACATGTATTTGGATTGAGACTTTGTGTGATTAACATAGACAAATATCCTCATTTGTATATACACTTGAAATTGAATTGGAGAAGAAGAGTAAAAAAAATTGAGAATGGAATATGATATGCATTGCAAAGAAGGAAAGAAAAAACTAAAAAATGAAATGGAAAAAAGATAAAAAGGGAAGAAACTTAGAATTAAAGCGTAATTTCCAAGGGAGAAAAAGGTATAAAAAAACTCAATCCCAAGGAATAAGTTATTAAATCATCATAGTATCTAAATTTATTATAGAAATTTCATAAATATCTAAGCATAACACATGCCGAACCAATAAAAAATTTCATATACATCGGTAAAGCTAGGCTAAACCAAGTTGATCTAATTCGGCCATTAATTCTTAACCCACTTGTTTAAATAAGTCATTGGTGGAAATCGAGTGACAGCCTTGGTCATAAGAAATTAAATTAGACTAAACAAATTTACGGTATATTCTTAATGGGTTATAGATATAATATACTCCTCTAATATATATACTCTCTTATTCACTACTAACCTTTGGAAATGCATGTAATATCAGTTTTCAAACATATTTTACTCAAATCTACACAATATATAATAGCAGGAAGGAACCATGATCACTTTTAAGAAAAGCAAGGATCATAAACAATTACACTAAGTACATTTGTTGTATCTTTTTGAAATTAAAAACATATAATAGCAGGGAGGTAAAAACCCTTCCCCCATTTCAAATTCTCTGCTCCATGAGCATTTGTAGGAATGGTAGAATAGGGAGTGTCAATTGTTTTATCTTTTCTCTCTGGAACGGGCCAACTTACAGTACACACGCGGATTTAAACGGGCCCAGGAGTGTCAATTTTTTTCTGTAAGCCCTTTTATTCTCGGTGTTGGTAAAATATATATGAAAGGGCAAAAATAATACTACTTTTATTGCTAAATTGAAAAAATTTAACAATAAACTAATGCATGGATTCTAATGGGCTAACCGCTAACCATAAAAT